AACCCACTGGCCCCTCACTTGCCACCAAGATGTCTAGTGGGTCACCGGGGGCCGACCACTCAGAGGAGAGGTTGTATCCACCGTAGCATCTGTACCGGCCCCCATGGGAGCTGCTCACAGTGTCCAGGAGGAAGTGGGCCTGAGAGAGCCCGGCCTGGGGCTGCAGGACAAGGCTCTGGGCGAGGTCCCGTCCCCCCTCCTTGGACAGAGAGAATCTGTCATAGCCGACATCAGAGCGACACTGGAGGGTCAGGCTCTGTCCAGAGGCCACGATAGGGCCCTGCTGGCTCAGGAGGGAGGGCTTCCCAGACTCACCTGGGGAGACCAGACATGAATTACAGGGGCTGCTCCTCCCATAACCCCCTTCTCCTGGCCTGGCCCCCAGGTCTCACTGTCTCTCTCTGTGTCTTTGGCCCAGGAGCCCTTGTGCTCCCCTCACTCTCTCACATGGGGCTCCCCTCCCAGCGAAGGTGTCTCAATCCATAGATGGGACAATAATAGGACTCACCTGGGACCAGGATCTCCAGGGGGTCACTGGGCTCTGACCAGCCAGCAGGGCTGCGATAGTAACAGCGATATCTCCCAGCATCTTGCTCTGTCATGTATGTGATGGAGAACTTGGCACTGTCCCCCAGCTCCAGTAGCTCCGGTCTTTTCCATGGTCGTGGTCTTCCCTCTTTATACAGCAGGTGCTCCTCAGCCCCTGGGGTCCCCTGACACCAGATGGTCACGGGGCTCCCCAAGGGAATCACAGGGCCTGGGTCAGCCCAGATGGTGGGTTTGGGGAGAGGCCCTGGAAGGAAACCAGTAGCTGGGTTTAAGACATTCTCACCCTCAGTCGAAGCTTTCAGGCCAGGACCTTCCCAGGTGTTACCTATCTGTCAGCCCAGAACTGCTGTTCTCCATCCCCAGCTGCCTGTGTTGTGGCCCCTCATCCCCAGTCAGGAGTGGGACCAGGGACTCCTGGGGAGACTCACCTGCCTGCACTGGTGTCCTGAGGCCCACACTCAGCCCTGGAAGAGAGTCCCTGTGAGAGATTTGCCCTGAACCCTGAGCAGCACCCTCCTCCCCATGAGCCTCCTGAGTCCTGGGTCCTGACAGACCAGGGTCCCCTCCCCCCTCCCATCTCACCGAGGCAGAGCAGGGCCCTGAGGGTGCGGGTCATGGCGTCTCCTCTTTTTGCACCCCGCTGTGCAGATGCAGGAGGCCACAGTGTCCTCTGAACAGACAGACACACAGGGTGAGGCCCCTGGGAGGTTGGCCGTCCCTGTCACCAGGCTCTCACGTCAGCAGCCCCACAGAAAGGGGAACATTCCCTTCCCAGAGTCCTGCATCTGGTTTCCATGGTGAAGCAGGAAATAGACCCAGACCCTCCTGAGACGCCCTTTGCAGGTGAGGTGACCCCGGGCACGTCCTTCCCTGACAGAGCCTTCCCCTCCCAGCGAAGGTGCCTCAATCCATAGATGGGACAATAATGGGGTCCCCCATGGGGTCTCCTTCCCCCTCAGCCCGTCCATCAGCACCTCCCTGGGGTCCTCACCATGGACAGTGTCACCCGGGCCTGGAGACGCTTCAGGAAGAGGTGGGTCCCTGTGGCCTGCAGAGCTCACCATCCAACGCACTCACTCACCATCCAACTGTGGAGCTCAGGGCGATGTCACTGTTGGAGGCCGGTCCTTCCTGTCACAGGGTTGTCACATCAGCAGCCTATTGGGGAGAGCACAACCTCTCTCTAGCAGCCTGGCTCTCATTTTCATGGTGAAACAGATAGTAGACCCGGAGCCTCCTGAGATGCCCCGTCCAGCTGAGGTGACCCAGGGCATGTCCTTCCCTGTCAGAGCCTCCCCCACGGGGTCTCCTTCCTCCTCAGCCCGTCCATCAGCACCTCCCTGGGGTCCTCACCATGGACAGTGTCACCCGGGCCTGGAGACGCTTCAGGAAGAGGTGGGTCCCTGTGGCCTGCAGAGCTCACCATCCAACACACTCACTCACCATCCAACTGTGCAGCTCAGGGCGATGTCACTATGACAATGAGCACAGAGGAGAAATGCAGGAAAATAAGGGAAGGAAACAGGTCCCTTTTCTTGGCCCCAGAGTTTGGCTTTGTTTATATCAGCCACCTTCTTCTTTTTTTTTTTCTTAGCCACAGCATCTACTGCACCTTCCTGGGGACAAGCTTCTGAGGAAATTTTCCTCCTCAGTGCCCCTTGTGTCCTGTGTTCAAGTCTCCTCCTCATCCTGTGGTCCAGCCTTCAATCTTTAGGGGACACTGATTTGGGTTGGAGTTCTGATTTTGACTTAAAACAGACATTTATTTATTTATTTATTTATTATTTTTGTTGCTTACAAGAGACCCATTTTATTTTTTTGAAATGCTTATTGTTGAAAGTATTACAGATGTCACCTTCCCCCCCCCCCTATTCTGCCCCCCCACCCCGTTCCTCCC